TGTGTGGGTGTGTGTGAGTGTGTGAGTGTGTGTGTGTGTGTGTGTGTGTGTGAGTGTGCGTGTGTGTGCGTGTGCGTGCGTGTGCGTGTGTGTGCGTGTGCGTGTGCGTGTGTGTGCGTGTGAGTGTGTGTGGTGAGTGAGTGATGAGTGAGTGAGTGAGTGAGTGAGTGAGTGAGTGAGTGAGTGAGTGAGTGAGTGAGTGAGTGAGTGAGTGAGTGAGTGAGAGTGACTGCGGCAGCTGTGGGGAGTGAGTGAGTGAGTGGGGGAGGGAGTGCGTAAATGAGTGACAAATACTGGCGTATTACTATCATATTTTTATTCAGTTTTGTATGAGACTCTGGTTCGTTATACATATCTGTACCTCTCGTGTATGTATCATATATTTTGTACCTTCTTGTCGGATAAACTCATAAGGGCTGGGCCCATGAAGCGCAATACACAATAATAACGCTTCATTCATTCGTCCATTCACCTATACATTAGGGAATTTATAGATGTGTCAAAAAAGCAACAGAGTACGAGAGTGTACATGCATGGAGAGAAAACGGATCTGCTTTGCGTCATTATGTTTTCACTAAACATCAGCAGAATTATTGACTACAAACAGAAAAGGATTGAAATACCGTGGAAATACCGTATTGACGCCCGCAAGGATTTATGTAAAACGTCCGACGTTTACACAGACTTGCAGTGAGCAGCTTCTAGTCAGGTCTCCTTGGCTGTATATTTTCCTTTCCATACAGCGGAAAAAATTAAACTAAATCATCGCTTCATAATGAAACAAACACAAGAAATGGGTTACTAGTATCTGCGTGACGTCACGGAAGCGGTGGATTGTTCATTCCTTGACAAAGACTGGAGTTGTACAGTCGAAATTTTAATTTCTCGTGTTGGCAATTGCAGTCCAAACTTGCTTCATAATGAGATGAACTTTCAAGATAAAATCTTTGCTTCATTGTTTCCCACAGGTGCGACAAGCGGTACGTGTACGCAGGCGCGTCGTTCTGCTGGCTGCACAGTAAGTGTTTCGAGCTGCGGTGCCAAAAAGTCGCGCAGGACGCCGCACTGGAGTCCAGGTGAGAAACATGCAGGTACTGTACTTACTAGTAGTGTTCTCACGGGTTTACAGGCTTTCGGCAGTAGTGTTGGCCCATGCAGCATACATGTGTGCTGCGGTACTGGAAAGTTGCGCAGGACGCCGTACAGGGGTCCAGGTGAGACACCTGTAGGTACTACATTTGCCTTAAAATGTCGTGTTCAGAACCGTGCTTTATCCATGCTTAGGCACGGCCCTAGGGCCACGTTCTATACTAAGTTGATTGTTTCTCCTTCCCTTTCCCAGCCCGACAGACGAGCCTTACTGCGGAGACAGCCGCTGCGACAAGCACCTTGAGGACGCCTCCAGCTGTCCGTTTGACTGTTGTGTATCCAGTATTACCCAGTAGCCTATCTAACATCTATTCAGCAGTAACAGATATGTCTGTTTCTCCTTTTCCTTCCCAGCCCGACAGACGAGCCTTACTGTGGAGACAGCCGCTGCGACAAGCACCTTGAGGACGCCTCCAGCTGTCTGTTTGCCTGCTATGTATCCATCCAGTATTACCCAGTAGCCTAACATCTATTCAGCAGTTACAGATATGTCTGTTTCTCCTTTCCAGCCCGACAGACCAGCCTTACTGTGGGGACAGACATTGCGACAAGCACCTTGATGACGCCTCCAGCTGTCCGTTTGACTGTTGTGTATCCAGTATTACCCAGTAGCCTATCTAACATCTATTCAGCAGTAACAGACATGTCTGTTTCTCCTCTACTCTCCAGCCCGACAGACCAGCCTTACTGTGGGGACAGCCATTGCGACAAGCACCGTGAGGACGCCGCCAGCTGCCCGTTTGACTGCTGCCCACTGCGGAACCCTGACGAATGCCGACACCCGTACCACTGCAGCAAGTGTCCACCTCTCTGCTGCGCCGAGACAGGGTGCTGTCTGGACTAAAGACTAAATTGTGGCTGTCAGACGTTCAAAAATAAAATTTCAGAACGTGTCCATCTAGCTCTATGCCTGAATGAGTTAGGTTAGGATCAGACACGTATCCAAGAACGTAGATTTGCCGCAGGCACGGTTCTGGATAGTCTTTATCGTATCCAGGACCCTGCCTATCTAGTTCTATGCCTGAAAGAGTTAGGTAAGAATCAGACACGGTTCTGGATAGTCTCTATCCGATATCCAAGACCGCAGATTTGCCCCAGGCACGGTTCTGTATCCGCACCACTGTAGCAAGCGTCCGCCTCTCTGCTGCGCCGAGCCCGGCTGCTGTCTGGACTAGAGACTAAATTGTGGCTGTCAGACGTTCAAAAATAAAACATTATCGTATCCAGAACAGTGTCCATCTAGTTCTTTGCCTGAATGGGTTAGGGTTAGGATCAGGCACGGTTCTGGATAGTCTCTATTGTATCCAGAACCTTGCCTATCTAGTTCTATATCTATCCAGAACCGTGCTTTATCCAGGCCCTTAGTATCCTGAGGGGCCTGGTAGAGGCTAATGTATAGTGGGCTACTTCTACATACATGTAACCTTGGTATCCTGAGGGGCCTGGTAGAGGCTACTGTATGGTGGGTTACTTCTACACACATGTAATATTAGCATCCTGAGGGGCCTGGTAGAGGCTACTGTATAGTGGGGTACTTCTACACATGCACATGTAACCTTGGCATCCTGAGGGGCCTGGCAGAGGCTACTGTATGGTGGGTAACTTCTACACACATGTAACCTAAGCATCCTGAGGGGCCTGGCAGAGGCTACTGTATGGTGGGTTACTTCTACACACATGTAACCATGGCATCCTGAGGGGCCTGGTAGAGGCTACCGGCAGAGTGTCTGTCAGTTCAATGAAGCTACAAGATTACTGACGGTAGCACAATTTAGGAAGCCTGCCATAGTCATATTTGTGTCATAATTTTAAAAAAACCCGTTATTTTTTTCTTGATCGACGTCAGATCTGCAACAGACAAGTTGGCCTGAGGCAGATAAAGACTATAAAATATGTGTTGATTTCAGAGCAACTGTTATAGATTGAACAATGTAGGCCTTTGTTACAGCAAGGAACTTCTACAAAGCCCTAGGTTACACAGTAAAAATGTCCTGACAACATTGTTCTACTTAAATTAAATAGATCATTTCCCTGGACTTCATATGAAGACTCGATATGTGTTGATTTAGAGCGACAAACACGACGCTACTGCTGCAGGAGCCTGAGGCCACAGACGAGTTGACTGACGTCAGATCCGCAACATGTAGGCACGCCCAGGCAGACACAGCCTGAGTCAGATACAGACGCACAGGTACCCATTGTTTAAGGTGGTCTAACCAGTTAGCGGCCCGGCATTAGCAGGGCTTAAGTCCCAGGGTCCGGCCACGGCCGGGCTCGGCCCCCTTTTGCCCTGAATTTTCCCCGGTAAACCACAGTAGAAGGACAGGGGACGGTTAGCTTTTGACGGGCGTGAGGTCTTCTTGTGGAGGAGCAAGATTTAAGCGGCAAAGTCCTGTGAAAGAGCGCCAAGACTTGAGCAAGACCGTCGCCAACTCGGGGTCCCAGGTTGGGGGGTAGAGCGGCGGGGCCCGGGGCCTTTCCCGGTCGCGACTTCGCTAGCCCGGCCCCGCCTAGTCTTTCCGAACGGTCCGCGGCAGAGAAAATCCACTCTAAAAGGAAGGTTTCTGGAAGGACGTGACTTTTTCATATCAATCTTGAGGAAGGAAGAAGAAACCGGCGAAATCCAACGCGAGAAACTTCGAGACTTGAACAAGGCCAACTGTTTTTCTACCTGCTGACATAAACGTGAGTTCAAACATTTTCCCTCAGTCAGTCCCAGGGTTTAAAATACCTTTTTTTCAGAAGCTCCTATTTTGCCCATCGATATTTCAGGTTGCCGCCAACACCAAAAGTTTATTTTAGAAGGCAGCTGTAAGCCAGCCTCCTGTTAAACTTTAAAGTATCGGTCACATGCTGGCGGAGATAGGATACGTCAGCTTATTTCAGAAACTGTCAGCCGGGCTGATGTAAACTTAAAAACATCGCTTTGTATATATATATATGCAAAGGAAAAAGGTGATAACTAAGTAAAACAGTGCACCAGACAGCCAAGCTACAATCATCTCCAGTAAGTGTCGCACAGAAAACTTGCCTTGTGTGGCGAGAGTGGCTGGGTATTTTGAACCCTGAGTAGTATCCTTTTCTAGACTCAAACACCCAAACAGCCTAGTTATGATGTATTTGTGGGCGCGTCTTGTTTTTGCTGTATCCTTGTTTTGCTGCATTCATGTGGAGTCGTTTTTTCGTAGCGACAGAGTGCTCGGTGAGGAATCAGAGGCCCCGGGTTCGAGTCCTGACATGCCATCGATATTGTGCCCACTTTACACGACTTCCCTCACCTCGCTCAGGTGAAAATGAGTCTTGTCCTGTCATGTATTTGTCCCCTGTGTTGGTGGCGGTATCAATATAAGTTGAAAAAAACGTGAGTGTGCCGTCACCACGTCTTGTGGATGTTGGAATATATAAAAAAAAGACAACTGCCGAGAGACCCAACTAACTTGCAGCACTTTGAACTCTTTAAGCGATGTTTATACACGATTTTTAAACATCCCTGTTTTCCACATTTTCGTTCGCTATAAGCCTACATGTACCTGGATTCATACTGACATTTGGGGAGTACAGGATCAATGTCCTTGCGCCGCAAAACCTGGCGAAGATACCCGAACGAAAACTGCTCTTTGTTTACATTTATTTTAGGAGCCTCAAAAAAATACAGCGGGCCTGGCGCAACTTATTCTCGCGCTGTGCTGAGTCGCCTGAAAAGCGAAATAGCGACGCTCATATGTTGAAAGGTTTTGAAAATGACAATCTATACGAGGGAATTTCAATTATGATCTATATTTACAGTTTTGGCACAAAAATCTTACATGATATCGCTTTAACAACACTGAGTCGTGTAACCTTTTGTTTAGGGACACCAAATTTTCTCAGTATCTGGCCAAGTTCGCATTGAAATGTGTGCTTTCCGGGGTGGTTATGACAAATGAAAGACAACACGGTGTATTGCATCACCTTCAGTTCTAGCCAAGCCCTCTCTGGCGGGATTTTGTTTTTGTCTTTGGTTCAACTTGATTTATTACATCCTGACACCTGGTACAAAGCAACTCCTGAAGCGTAGTTATCTATAACTGGTCACGCCCCTCCGGTGTCCGCTTAGGAATTTTGATAGGTTTGTTTGTTGGCGTCTCTGATAGAAGAACAACCCTCCCCTTTGATCAGCGTTTCTTCTCCAGCATTTTAAGCTAATGTTTTTTTTTTGTCTTTGTTAGTTTCGTTTAAGTTTTACAGTAATTAGCTGTATTTCCGTCATAAAAATTCCAGACATTCAGGGGCTCAAGCATTTTTTCTTAAATCTCTAACATCCAAATATCAACATTGTGACTCCGCACTTTTAGTCGTAAAAAGCATTTTGTGGGTAAGCTTATGACACGGGAAGAAAGGTGTGACAGTAGTGAACTACCCACTACGAGAACACTAGACACACACGCGACACGCGACAAGGCCCAACGTACCCAGCTAGCTGCGATTTGAACATTGACAATAATGATCTTTATTGCATGTTCTTACCCATAGGGCTAAATGCATTACAAAGATATATGTATATATGTATATATGTATCTATATCTATATCTAATAGGTACTACATTCTACAACAATACTATCAAGACTGTTATCTAATACCTATTATTCTATCTATCCTACCCAGTCCGCAGAGATTCTTCTCGCTTTTTGAAACATGTGTATATGAAGTGGCAGAGTTCTTCTATAATGAGTTGATTGTTACATGACATTAAGTAGTTAAATATGGCATCTATCGCTTTATTTCTACACCATGAACCCTCAACACCACCTGCTCGAGCGAGTCGCAGTGCTAGACAATCGCTCTTGAGGCTGACATTGATGCGGTTCAAATCATACTGGGGCGCACTAAGAGAAATAAGAAAAATGCTTCACTTTGTAATCTACAAAACGGTTGAACAACTGTTGTGGTTTATAACCGGCGTGTCACGCCCACTTTTGCACTGCGCCCAGCGAAAGTCCACAGAACTGCAGCCGACTCACCCTGACTGCCAGCTGTGATATCCATGCGCCTTTCTCCGTACGCCACCCGGGCAAACCTCAGGTTCCAGTTTACGCTTGGTAAAATACTGCACACCAGTATTATAACATTGGGCAGTTTCTGCCGCAGCACTTTTATGTAAGATTTCGACGAAGTTTTGAATATTTTTGGGACTAATTTTTCACACTGGAGCCAAAGAATACTGCGTTTTGTGGCCTGAAGGTTGCAGAAAAACCGGTTCTTTTGGGCGGCTCTGTGTATCACACCCCATGATCTATAGATAAATAGAGCTACCTACCATCCAACATTCATGACAGAAGCATGTCCTGATCGTGAGATATGAAGACCAGAAGCTCCTCTGCAGTACCAACGGAAGCCAGTAGGGGGCCAAAAATCTTATCATTTCTAGATTTCACACCCTACGGACCCACTAAGTATGAAACCAATCCATCCAGCCGTTCTTGAGTTATCTTGTTGACAAAATTTAATTCCCTAGGGAATGCATTCGTGGAATTCTTAGAATATTTTCAACTCAATCGTCTGTCTGAGTAGTATGTTAATTTTTTATATCATTTAT